ACTGCCCGTTTCCAGTATCAGATGGAATAACTTACGATGGTTACCAAGGACAGTGGCCATTTCCATCTCTGATGCACGATGAGACCACCAGGATTCGCGGTCTCTCTTCAGGCTAGCACGGAGTTTTGCCCGGAGCTCTTTGCGAGTTTCATTGTGCTCGCTTCCAGCCGGAATTTGCCGGCGAGCGTCGACAAGTTCCAGAGACCGAGAAGAGACCCAATATCTATGTTGGCTATTAGACATGCAACATGAGGATTTGCCTGCTGCTAGTAAGATCTGGCGAACATGTGACCAGTGACCATCAATTGTCTCCAGTGAGCGATTACTCAACTCGCATGTCAGCGTACTTCGATACGCATTCAGAACAGCTCGCTTTGTCAGTTGGCTGGTGTCAATGCGCTCACAGTGTCGTCGTGGGCGTCCGCCAAAACGCATCCGCATGTCAGCACATACAAGTGCATGGTTGGTGTCTACACATATGCTCCAAATCGAGCGACAGTTCTGGACGCAGCCTCTCCATCGGTAACTTATTACAATGTGATCGATTTGCGTCCATAGCTGCTTCGAGGCTGGTGGGCGACAAGTCACCCACGGGTGCTGTGTCTGAAATTAGTGCTCGCAAGAAATAAGCAAGCATCTTCACACAAATGAAGTAGCCGCTCACCATTATCATTACGGGAGCCTACACCATGTTGGCCACCCAGATGCAGCTCATCTGTGGATAATTTTCCAACTTGAGCGTACAGATCCCCAGTCAGCACAACAGTGTCCGTGCTTCTTCTGCAGCGAAGGAGCTAATTCATTTGGCGATAGAAGTCGTCTTTTACCGAATCATCGCTACAGTTTGTCGGTGCAAAGCCAGCGATAACGAATAGATACCTGTTAGTCCCACGCAACTTCGAAGTTTTGAATGAGTCCGCCAATCGGACCGCACACATCCGGCTACTGATTGGAATCCAATCAACCAGAGCTGCTTCAGCCTGGGGACTCAGGGCAATACCAACACCGGTTTGGCCGGTGCTCGAAGCTGCATCGTCAACAGATAGGCGCAATGAGAAATTGCTGCTGGTGTCATCTGAAGGGGATCGCAGTGGGCACAGAGCTCGAGTCTTGCAGGCAGGTCTCCGATAAGCAGCAGGTGTCGATTGAGAGGGTCTCTAATGTTCGGGCAAGTACTGCCTGTTGATCGATCTGAAGCAATGTGCACACAGTAAGGACTGCCAATCTCAAGAATGATCGAGGGCTTCAAATAGAAGCCGAGGAACTGGGCTTGGCCGTTTGGTTGAACATGGGCTTGTCAACAGGACAGGAATGACTATCCGCGTTCACATGTGAGTTGAAACTAAAAGGTAAAAGCCTATCAAAGCAAGGTAAGGGATGGCCCTGAATTGAGGGGTTGAAAACAGGGAGGATAAAAGTAAAGCTGGAATGGGACGGTAAGAGCGAGAAAGCGTACTAGTGGGAATACGGAGATTAGGTTTAAGCAGTAGCATCCAAATCTCTATCAACCCTGCTCGATACAGCAGATAAGGCACCTCTGCGGTGGCCAGGGCATCAGAAATTAATTTGAAATGAGATTCATTGTATTGCGTGGACAGGATACTGTCAGGTTGCCCAGGCCTAGACAGGAGAACGATAAGGTTTCTCAACCAAAGCCTTTGGTTCAAAAACCTGTCCGCAAGGCAGCGGGTTTGGCATTGGGCTACAAGGAGTCCGTTTTAAGGAATAAGGTGCCACCCTCATTTCAACCCCCAACCTGGAGAACCAGGAGGATGAGTTTGTCTGGCCTCTAACCATTGACCAATCTGGTATGAGTGGCTCTGAAGGTGCAAAAAACACCACCAAGCATAGCTCAATGGATCACTGAGGCACGCAAACCATCGCAACACGCTAAGGTCCAGCCTCATTGCAATGGTGATTCTAAGTAATCTCAGTCGAAATTGAGTTTTGATGTTTCCCTTAGCACCACACAGTTGCTCCCCATCCTTCACCTAAAGGAAAGACCCTATGTTACACGTAGCTCCCTGTCAGGATGCCACCAAGCATTGTATACCACCCATCTGAAGGTTTGAAGTGGAGACTTAAGACATTAAAGTATGGTTCCCATTTCTGCCTAATATTCAAACAGTCCTCTGGATAGCGCGCAAAACAACTGTACCGGATTGATCGTGTTATATATATATATATATATATATATATATATATATATATATTGCCATTTCCGTAGAATATAATTTCTGACCTCCTGAACTTATCTCGGATCCCTTGTTAACAACTGATTTCATATGCTCGTTAATTTAATATTTTTGTCACGCTTACTTATGTATTACTCGATTTGTTTTCTTTGTTGGCTTTCTCTCAAGTGATTGGTTGTTGCTTGATATCCCCGGGGTGGCTGCGCTTGATGTGCATGTTGACAAGGTGTCTACCTGTCTATTACCCACTACCTCGTCCATACGGGCTCCAGGAGACAGTTGGTCGTTGCTATAGGGCACGGGGCGCACGGTTCTTGTGGCCGTGTTAGGATCAAAGAGTGGTTCCATGCACTCAGTGTGGAGCGGACTACGGTCCAGCCAACGCCTTGTGTGCGCTTGATTCCCCAAACACAGCGTACTTGTGTTTGTCTGTGAAGGAGTGTGGCCGGCTCCGTTGATGAAACGTGGCTCCCATCCACATGCTCCCGGTCTTATTCATTCGGGTTTACGCTGGATATGGGGTGTGTGGTTGGAGCTGTGAGTGGTGCAACGTAAGCCACCCGTGGTCCCTCTGTAGGCGCAGGCGTGCTGTGGATATCCCCGTGAAGGCCCCGGCAACAGGCGAATCCGGAAAAGAATGCCACCAACCATGGTTTGCAATATTCAGGTAGCTAAAAAATTGTTACCATAACCATCACACCCCATGGCAAACAAATTTCGCGGATAAGGGCGGTTATTGTTGTCGAATGAGCAAATACATAATATTTATTGCAAATACAGCACCGTGCAAGTTGTGGTGTAGATGTACCTGTAGATGACTAGGTAGCACAGCTAGTGACTGTTATAAGTCTATAAATGGATGGTCGATTAGGTATTGTAGAGGGATATAAATGCATATGCCATTGCCTTAGGCACCTGCTCTAATAAGCTGCTAATCGTTAATGGGAGATAGCGGGGTACAAATCCATTATAGTGATTATAGGATGGGTGAAAACCTGGATTGAGCCTTCTGTTCAGCTGGTATGCAATCAGCCAGCTCCCAAGTCGAAGGCGGTGGCTAACCAGATGCCATCAGCCAAATACTCATAAAATATTTCGTCAATGCTAAAATCAGTCATCCGGCAATCAACATACTGGAAAATGTCAGAAAGTTGATCAGCAACGCGGAGTTTTCACTAATCGTCAGGGGATCAAATACACGAGTACCCAGATTGTGGAAAGTGATTTATGCCATTGAGCACGAAGGACGCCAGCGGTCCATATGGTTAAAATATTATGGCATGTCAAGTCTCATGTGACACCTCCATGCACATTACCGCCGTGCAGAGAACAGAGTTTGTCCCAACGGTGGTTTCCATCGATAAACTGCCAATTATCCCACATCAGTATGAAATATTCGAGTAACTGCGGATGTTAAGGAATTTGGGAAAGTGACTAGACCAGAGCTTCTGCACAGTTTAAGCATGACGCCAATAAGACGCAGCAGGAGCTATTTCACTTTAAGAGAACACCATGCAGCAGTTCGTGCCACCGAATGTCAGAGCTCAGATAAAACAGTCATTTGAGAGGCAAACATCTCAAGCTGGCAGATCGCTACCGTCGTTTGGAATGCCGTCAGAGCTGCTTTTCTGTGCGCGTTTGTAAAAGGTGGTATGACCTCAGAATCTGTCATCTGTGCCCCGACGCTGGTTGAGTTCAAAGCCCCAAGTTGACAGTGCGCTCATTTCGCTGCGCCATCTCATATGACTCATTAGCTATTGCCAAACATGAGTGCCCATACCAGATTTTACCGACGGTCAGCTAGCAGAATACATTCCGCCATTTCCCCCTCTACTGTGTGTTTACAAGAAGGCAAACACAATGTTCACTAACGTTCCGCTGGTCTCCATTCCTTGTGGATTCCATGGATTTGCATTTTATACTACGTATATCCCGGTGGGTCCACCGGTATGAATCCAAATGTGCCGGGAATTTTTTTATATTTTGGATTTTCCCCATGGCCGTCCTACGGGGTCTGTTAAGTTTTAGTCTTTTACCTGTGTAAAAGTATTGTTCTATTATATGATGCAGCGTTTTGATCAAAGTTTGTTATATTCTGTACACGCTTAAACCCTTTAACTCCAGTAGGATGTTTACCCAGAGAAAGTACTCAGAATGGCTACTAAGGCAGTTGATAACCAACACGGATGATCAGCTACCTAGCCTGTGACTGTTGGCACCGAATCGTCACAGACTAAATGCAGGTCTGGTAAAAATACTCAAGATCATGAAGGGTCATAGCCGCATTAGGACTGCTGATCTTAGAACCCCCCCACCTCAAATCATCAGAAAGTACATCACGTTAGACCACTGGTCCGGAATGGATATCGGGATGGAACTCTCTATGAATCGTGCGATTCGCAGTTGGAACAAATCGACCCTTGCTTCATGGAAAGTGGTTCTACGGTATCTCTCAAATGGGGCTGAACGGTATCTGATTCTCTCAGTTTCTCGATTTATCTTAAGAACAGCAGGCGTTGCGAGTGAAAGTTCACTGTAGAAAAGTGGTACTTTAGACACTTTAATGTACTTTACGAAGGCTGTTTCAGCTCTTCACTTTCTATGTCTGCAGAAGAAACGGCATCCAGTCGGAGATCGAAATGCTGAGGACTCTGGCTTGCTAACTAATACACCAAACGGGATGCTCGACAGGCGATGGTTTGCATCATACCAGGTAACTAAATTGACCTGATCGATAATTTCTGGAATAGGTGCATCTTAAACTGGCTCAAGCAATACTAATGCACAACTGCTGAGGCAAAACACCTACCGTGGATGAAGGAAAGTAGACGAACAGGCAATAATGGCACTGATGTCGGCGGCACAGTGCGATTGTCTTCGGAGTGGCATTGTCCAAATCCCGTAAGGCAGATGGATCAGGTTCGAGAAATTCGTTAGTGTAGTCCGTTTCAGATTCACTCCTCTCATCTCCTTCACCTTCCTCATCGTCATATTCCTCACTTTCCTCCTCGTCATCATCCTCCTCCTGTTGCTGTTGATCCCCGTCTCGGGAATGCATAGACTGTGGAGTCGATTGTTGCCTTTTGGGAGCTGTCTTCTGAACCACAGGCTCTGCCGTTTTCGAATGTTTACCTGGGGATACCCGGGTTTTCGGTTGGTGCAGTTGAGCTGAAAAGTCATCAGTGGATCGCTTTGAAGCCTTCCCAGGAATTGCTGCTGCGACTCGCGCTGGCTTTGTGTTTGACCTCGGTTCTGATTTCGATTCCAATCTCGGTGTTGTTTTTCTTTCCAGCTTGGGGGCAAGTGTTGCAGCCCGCTTTGGTGCTGACTTCGCAGGTGGCCCACTCTGTCTACTAGGTTGAGATAATGTCCGAGCAGTGCTTGATGCAGCGCTGGCAGGCGCATCGGAAAGTGAAGTGGGGCTCTTTGTCCTCACTGGTGGATTTAGACGGGACGGTGGAGTATGTTGACCAGTTCCCGGGTCAGTGGATTTGCTGGATATTGTCTTCGCGGTGGGGGAAAATTTCGACTTGTTATCCCTGTATTCTTCTAGGTATTCGGTGTTGTGCAAATCAGAGAAAGTGGAGCCACCTCGATCTGATTGGCCAAGAAATTTAGTTTCACGGGACACCGTGGTCGTGTTGCCATGGGACAAGGAATTTAGTTCACTATCTGTTCCAAGTGCTTTGTTTTGATTCAAGTTGTCGAGATTGTAGCTGGAAGAATCATCTCCGGGCATGTATTTGTTTAGAATACCCACTGCTCTCGAGAAATTTGGGTCAAGCTGGAGCAAAATTTCCTTGGCGGATCTAGCTCCTTCGCTGTTTGAATCGTTCCGCAGTTCTGGTGGCGTGACAGAGTTGTACCGCATGGCCGTAAATTGCATTCACCAAAAACCGTGCCAGATGACACCAGCTTCTGCCATATTTCTAGGATGGATCAATAGACTTATTGATTGCACATGGCGAAGATTTAAATGTATTCCGATGAGGTTGTTGAAGGATACAATGGAATTCTATCCTATGTACTCATAACCAGAAGTGTTTTCCTTGTAACGAAGTGTCGGCGAAGAAAGTAGCAGATGCGGTGTGCCGTCGTGTAATTTTCAAATGGTTCAATTACGAACTATCTACCAGTCCAAATCTTTCTAATTTTCCAGGTTCGTAGCACAAGTCCAAATGATATCTGAACACGAGAGTATTCTAACAGCGTTATGTAAACTTATGCCATTTCAGCATCAGTGGTTCTGCTCAATCAAATAACAGTAGGTTGTATGTTTTTTTACCGTAAGAGATACCGTCCAACTAAGTGATTTGATCAGTTGGTACAAAAGGATCTCAGAGGGTAGATATCTGTCCAAAATTTCCAAAACAATTCCCATCTAAGTTTAATCAGCGAAAATGTTAGAAAGACGGAGAAGCTGACGGTGAAATGAAAGTAGTTATTGAAAGAAGATTAGGTGAAGGAATACGGCTCTCTGTAGAACCATTTCCTTAAGGGGTCTGCATCAATGTGTAGTAGTTCCACGAAAGGTTTCATCTGCACTTCTACGTTCCATCTGGCCTCATACCAGTGTGCCATAAGAGTAAGCTTATCACCTGAGTCGTTTTTATGTGTAGAGAGAAATAGGCTCTCAGAGAAAGGCCCCTTTTTTAACACTAGAAAGACCGCTCCGCCGTTATACCTAGAACGCCCGGGACCGGTCAAAATGACCGTACTGCTATCTTTTTTTATCCCAACTTTCAGTTAAGAATTTTTCACGGCATTTATTAAAAACTAATGTATAGAACATACCTGTAACAGAAAAATGATTGTATTAAGGTTTAGATTTTTTCAAAAATTGTAAACAATTCCGTATACCTACTCCAATTTGCACTTGAAGCAAGTGATAACTCGCTCAATCTGTCCACATGAGCCGCAAACTATTTTTTCACAAACAGAGCACTTGTTTTGTGATTTGTTACCTTTACAGTAACCAATCTGACACTGCCGACGTTTAATGTACACACGACTTCCCGACTCCGCTGAGTTGTTCGTCGTAATTCCTGTTGTCACGTACCTTGTGTGATGTGTACATGTAAGCAGTTTCTCCGAAAGACCCACCAGATACGACCGGCGAGATATTTTAGTTCCGCAAACACTGTTATAAATTATCCAGGAATTTATGCCAGCCAAATCCAGTACGTTGAAAAAAACTTGGACTGGCCAACGTCGAGATGATGACTTCACAGTGAGTGCTCTTGTCATTTGGTCGAGTACATACACACCATACTTTGAGGAGTTGCAAAACAACACAGTCTAGGATTTCTTCTTTCCAGAGTCTTGAACGGAAGAGTTACTATGCAGGGAACTGAAAACCAAAACACTTATTCCTTCTACACTGGTAGGATGATAATGTGTGCTTATTTTCATTCCTCATCATAAGTGAACTGAACAGCTCTCTATTTCTTTGCTTCAAAATCGATGGTACTTCCTTTCTATTAGCTCAAAGTGTTCCCACCATACTTGTGTTTTTGTTGGCCAGCATTTCTCCTAATGCTGCCGATGTAAAGAAGTTGTCACATGTGACATTGTACCTCTTTCCAAATAATGGTGACACCAAGCGCAATACCACGCTCGCTGCAAGACTTTCTCCTCTTGACCGAGTTTCCTCCTTCCCGAGATATGGAAATCCATTAACGAGATACTTGCTGTCTACTTCTGCCAGCATTCAAAACTTGTTACCGAACTTATCTGGTTTGTTGGGCAAATACTGGAGAAAACCATAACGGGTTTTGGAGGGAAACAATTGCTCATCAACTGTGCGATTCTGCGCAGGCACATAGCATTGTTGAGAGTTGCGAGTGAATGCATTCCACAATTCAGATACCAAAGCAAACTTATCAGTTAGCAGTCTTTCACATCGGGTAGTTCGCATGTCAAAACGGAGGAACCTCATTATTTCTTTGAAGCTGTTCTTGCCAGATGTCTCCCTGAAAATAGGCAGTCCATATCTATCGCACCACATCATATTCAACGGCATGTTCTTCAGACCCATGAAGCCTCTGATGTAAAGTAGACCAATAAAGGCACGCAGCTCTGGAAGACTTACGCTCCACTGACAACTAAAACTCTCTTGGCCTCAGCTACAGTGCATACTTGAATATGTTTCAGCATCTGGGACGTGATTATGATGTCAAAAGTGCTCGACAGCTCACCATATTTCACACATTTCTTAGCATGGGGAGTTGGTCCTGGTCTAGCCTTAAACACATTCTGTGATGGAATCCTACCAATAGTAGATGTTTCGAACTCCACTGCGATCCATGTGCTACCATCTTTCGATACGTGAAGCTCACCGGAAGACACCGAATCGGTTGATACACTGTCTCTAGGGTCCTCATATGGAGTGTTATCATCAGATGTTTGACTATCAGACATGCTGTGCTCTTCTGCTGACTCATGGAAGATGAAGTCCTCATCAACATCATAATCGTTCTCGTCTCCAGACTCGTTGTCACCGATGGTTGTAAGTTCTCGTAAAACCTCAAAGGCTGTTTTCCTCGGAAGTGCCATTGTGTGCAAAAATGTCACTGGAATTTATCTGACTGAACTCACAACATCACAGTAAAATCGTGATTCGGCTAGTTTTCACTCCCGTTTTGACTGCTATAGTATATAACTGTCAGAAATGATAGTGGTGGCTAGAAATAAAAAGAGGAACCGGATTAGAGAGAAGCGGTCATTTTGACCGCTAACGGGCTTTCTAGGTTAGATGAATACAGCTACCTCTTTTCTCGAAAATTATAACAGATATGAAAACGAAAATTCACAGTAATGAAGAACGTCCAAAAATATTAAAAGTTACGAAATATCTTTGAAAAATGTCCATAAATGTAGAAAATATGCACATTTAAAAACGCTGAGCGGTCAAAATGACCGCTCCGGACGTTCTAGTGTTAAGCAATTCAGCCCATTTCAACCTCTGAATCTTTCGAGTCTGGTACCGTTTTTTCTCGCCAAGCCTGTGCCAATTTCCCTTCCGTGGGTACTTTTTTCACCCAGTAGGGCAGTGGCAATTGGCATCGCGTGGGTGCATTGATAAATTCGGAAGCTTCACTCCGTCACCCCGGAGATCGGTTCAGTCGTGGTCAACAATGGAAAGTGAAATATAGAAATATGCTGAAAAAAGAGATTGTTAAATGAGTGGCATATATCCAACGTCTTCTGCCTCATGTTGTACAAAATGTTCCAGACAAATATAGAAGACAGCTCTCTGAAGAGTTTTGATAGCTTGGACGACTAATGCCAGTCGAGTTGTAGATTAATTGATATATAAAAATTGACTCCGCGGAGCACTGAGAACTGCTGAATCGCTTTGCCTTTGTTTGGGCGCCAATAAACAAAAACACTGTAACGCTCGGAACTGCTACAGTTGGACGTGATGGAGAACTCGACAACCGAATAGAATGTCCATCATGGTTAAAAAATTTATGTGTCGTTGAGGGGACTAACTCATTTAGTTGTGTCATCTTCCTATCAACAGCAACCTACTGGCTGAGAGAACATGTGATCACTAAGTCAAAAAAGGGAGTTTGAACGCTGTGGAATACACATATCTATGCCCACATCGACGGTCAGGACAGCCTAGCACATACATGAGTTGGTTCCTTTGAAGCGAGTCTGTAGTTGGCGGCAAACATAATCGTTGCAACGTCAAATATAGGGAAGTGTACTGGAGACTGCATAATGAGGTTATTCCTTCGTCCCAACGCGCATTCACTGGTCTATCAGAAATAAACCAATGAGAGTGATACTCATGTAAGATGACTATAAATTGTATCCGGCCAACTCCTACGTAATAGTAGCTGGCAGCATTTGTTTCCGGATTTGCCTGTCAGTGTACCTGTGAAAAGTCACAACGCATCCGTGTTGACATAGGGGGTGCGCCGCTTACGCCGCGACCTCTTTTGCACACCCCAGTCCAGTGTAAAAACGAAGCAACAAGATTGGGAACCTTTTGTGTAACCGCGCGTGAATAGTTATCGTTGGCGTCGATTTCAAAGTAATCCAAAGTGACGAGTGTGAAGTAACCCCTCACCTTCGGTATAGTGTTTCCACTAAACATTGCACGACCGTGCCCACATTCTACTGTAACCATCATCATTATTATACACGTTAGCGAGAGGTGTAAAAAACACCTCAGCTACTGTGCCGCAATATATAGAAGAAAAAATAGGAGATAAATACAACAGTTGCGTGTCAGCTAAGCTACTAGCAACGGATGGGTATCGTTCTGGAAAGCTACCAGCCGGCTACTAAGCACAAAAATTACTATGCAAACTTATATTATCCTACGAAATGAGATCGTGGTTGGAGGGGGAGGCTAAAAGGGAACGTCAGGCAAACTGATATTTTTCACTATAAACTCCAAGTGCTCAATAGCGTCTTCAGTAGCTTGATAACACAGTAACGGTCGCTCGCTTCAGTCGAATACCTCAAGCGTAAAACCAGTGCTGGTGCCGTGCGCTTTGGATTGCCCACTAAATGCCCAAACTAGATTGTATCACGATTCGTTCCTTTCGGTAATCTCAATGTAAATGCCGATCCCACTTGTGGAATTGTGAACCCATAGTGGTACATCCCATTCTGAGCGGATGGGTATAGCTGAAACCAGTGACGACGGGTAAAGTAGGCGGTGCTCTGTCTCACAGTCACTCAAGTCAAAAGGAACTTTATGTTTTAGAAGGTCTGAGTAGGCAACTCAATGTTATCCCTCCTCATCAAGCCTTCTGGTTTTTAGTGAAAATCGTCAAAGCGATACAAACCTAGATTTCATAAATAGTCCTTACTGTCCCAAAGTATGCCCACAGCCGTCCATTAGTTCGAATGATTTTTGCTCATCGCAATAACTACAACATCTCATAAATTTCCAAAACCCATATCCTCTTGCTGTTGCCTGCTGACTGTCGACAAGCTCGCACTCTATTGACAACCGGTTTGAAAAGCTGAAGTCATACACTGCTCCGATGTCAGATACTTTCATCGTGTGTACTACATTATCAACAATTTGCAGTCTTGTCCCCAGCTACCCCAGTCCCTGCCCCGTAAAACGTAACTC